ATTGTTCCCCCACACACACACACACACACAGATGGAAAGAGTAAATTGAGCTTGGAACCAAACTTAACTTAAATCAGGTGTCCCTTAGCCCACCAATACCAATTTTTCCCCTTTTATTTTCTGTCATCTTTCCTCTTTTTTTTTTAAGGAAGTGAATGATCAACATTATTAAAGGCCACATAGATTGGAAGAAGTTACATTGTGATGGTGAAGACAGAAGCCATATTCATAAAGTTTCAAAAGAAAACCCTGAAAAACAATGAACTCATAAAACACATTACAACATAGATGACTCTGAAATTTATTATGTTGGGTGAAATATCTCAGTCACAATAGGATAAATACTGCATAAGACCACTGTTATAACAATAAGATGGCTGCAGGGGAGAGGAATGCAGGAAAAGAATAGATAATCAACATTTCACTGGAATAGATGAAGGGAAGGATAATATGAAAACAATGGATGATTAGATATTAGGTGTATGACAGTTAAGAGTAACAAACAAGACAAGCATTATAAAGTGAACTGGAAGAGAGGGGATGGAGGAAAATGTATACAAATAAATTCATGAAAACTGTTCTCTTTTTTAAACTTACACACACACAGAGAGAAAAGGGGAAAAAAGGAAAGTTCAAAATGTCTAGGGATACGAAGAGGTACAGAGTTTTTAGCTGTTCTGGGAAGAAGAAATCCATATCAACCATCAGTGTGTGACTGTTACACACATTTGGATCTTAGGAAATATAAGTCCAGGTGGATAAATACATACTTTAGAGTTGCAGGAGTAGTAAGGCTCTCAACCACCCTCCAACTCTGTCCCTTCAGTATGAGAAATTAATGATACATAATGAAAAGATTAGGTATTTCCTTTTTTCCTTATATGAATATCCACCCAAGAGCATTTAAAAATATGTAAAAAAATCCTCACCATTCCCAATATCATAATAAACACATAAAAGTTTGGAATTACTAATTATTTCATTTCACTTATATCCACAATCAACACCCATGGTATAATCAGTTAAGAAATCAATGATGTGGTGAGAAAAGAACTCTTATACATTGTTGGTGAGATGGTAAAATGGTACAACAATTTCTGGATAGCAGTTTGGCTCTTCCTCAAAAAGCTGAACACACAAATTCCATATACCCAGCTATTCCACTACTTGGAATATACCTTGAGAATATGAGAACTGAGGCATAAACTGAGATTTATACACCAATGTTCATAGCAGCATTATTCACCCTTGCAAGAACATAGAAACAGCCCAAATGCCCAACCAAAAATGAATGGATTGAGAAATGATGGTACGTTCACACAATGGAAGGCTATGCATCACGCAGGTGCAATAATGTTGTAAATTATTACCAAACTTGGGAAGAACAGGAAAGTATTATGCTGAGTGAACTAACTCAGTCCCGCAAGGATTCATATTGTATAAAACCATTATTGTAGAATGAGTATAAGGATCCAGGAGGGATGGGAGAGGCTCGAAGCAGAGGGATGCGGATGTGCAGGGGGAAGGGGGAATTCATCATTAAGTTGTGCAATTTGATGGGTGGGGGGTGAGGATATGGAAAGAATTTGTTCAAATTTGTATTCTAATTTTGTAAATAAACTAGTCTGTGGGGTGGGGGGGGAAGACGTGTAACATTGGGGGAAATCTATCAAAGACCTCTCCAAATTGCTAAAGAGTAATGATATTAGTTTCAAAACTAAATTGTGCCTCATCCAAGCAGTTATCTGTTCGATTAATTCTATGCATCTGAAAAGATGATAGAAGAAGAAAGATGTCTTTGAGTTGTTGTATTGGAGAAGAGTATAGAATATTCTACAGATTTCCAAAAGAACAAACAGTTCTGTCTTGGAGAAAATGTGACCAGGGTACTTCTTAGAGGCAAGTCTGATGTAACTTTGTGTCACATACTTTGGGCATGTTGCCAGGATGGCCCAGCCAATGGAAAAGCCGTTAAGGTGGAAGTTTAGGCAGAGGAAGTCCTTTAGCAAGATGGATTGACACAGTGATTCTAACAATGTACTTGAACATATCTGAGATTATGAAAATGCTACACAGATAGGACAAAGTTCATGTCTGTTGTTCATAGTGTCACTATCAGTCACAGTCAATTTGATGGCAAAAACGTAACAGCAACAATCATTTATTTATAAGGATGTATCATGCTTGGAAGGGTGAAGGGCAGGCACAGGAGGGGAAGACCCTCTGGGAGATGGATTGATTTGGTGACTGGGGCAATCGGGATGAGTGTGTCGGAGACAGTGAGATTGGCAGAGGACAGAGCAGAGTTTAGAGTTGTTGTACATAGGGTTGCTATGTGTTGCAAGCGACTCGACAGCACATAACAACAACAACCAAAAGACTACAAATAGAAACTCTGAGTTCACTTCCACTTCTATGCCTGCCTTATGATTCCACAAAGCTCAGAATGTATGCAGCCAAATTCTGACTCAAAATTAAAAAGAAAATGAACACTATGTTTCCAGGTACAAATAGCTCTTTATGAAAATAAAAGCGATCCATGTGTTGCTTTCTAGCGAGTTCTTTTTGGCAACATTACCGACACTGTGCTGTTCCTTGGAGAAACCTGTATAACAGATACAGAAGGAACATCACTTTCTCCTAGGAAATTATCTTACTGTGGCAGCACCATACTGCAAATGAAAGAGAAGAAGCAATAAGTCACAAGAAGTCAGTCGTGGAACAGAAGTTCAGGGCAAAGAACTTTTCCTCAGAACTGTCTGAGATAGAAACCCTTCCCTAAAACTTTACCTGGAAAACAGTACCTGGAATTTGGACTTAGAGACTCCTAAACTCAGTAGAGACGGCACAGCATGAGAGACCACAAGTACAGTGAGGCGTTAGACGTCACAAAAGTGAACTGTGATATTATCAAGGTCTGGATAGAGGGAAAGAGGTGTTGAATGGGATAGACATGAGTGGAAGGGGTTGCTGGTGGAGAAGAGAAAGGGATGGATCAAGACGTATGTGCCAAAGAGCAAGGAAACAACAATTTATTGGTTACTTCTATAACTGGAATATGTTTTGCATCTGTCCTTTCTGTAAAATGCTTGTCTGTCAGATACTGTTCTAAAGCTGAGCATTCAAATTAAGACAGACTAGGAAGAAGAAACGGCCCTCTGAAATAACAGGCCTTTGAAAATCCTATGTACAACAGAGCAGATATGGCAACTAAGGCTGAGCCCTCAAACACGGAAACACAAAAGAGGAGAAACAGTTGTAAGAAAGCACAGTAATTGGAACACAGAATATGAGAAGCATGGATGAAGGAAAATTGGACATTGCTAAGAAAGAAATTAAATGCATAATAATTGGTAAAATGAGATGGACTGGCATGGGACATTTTGAATCAGACAATCATATAATCTACTATGCTGGAGATGAAAATGTGAGGGAAAATAGTGTTGTTTTTATTGTTAAAAAAAGTAATTTCTTGAAATAATTCAAGATCAGTCATGAAATACAAGTTTGTTGAGTGAAAGGATAATATCCATATACGTACAAGGAATTCCAGTAAATACCACCAAATAAATGCACCAACATCCAGAATCAAAGAGGAGGAAATAGAAGATTTCTGCGAATATTTGCAGTGAGAAACTGATTGAACATGCAACCGAAATGCACTTATAATAACGGGTGACTGGAATGCAAAAGTTGGGAACAGGAAAGTAGTCAGAAAATGCACCATGAAAATGCTTCATGGTTAAATCTGTCTTGGAGAAAGTGCAGTCTTTCTAGGAAACAAGGATAGTGAAACTTTGTCTCACATACTTTGAGCATTTTATCTAGGAGGACTAGTCTTTGGGAAAAGACATTATGCTAGGAAGCATTTAGGGTCAGCAAAAGAGAGGATTACCCTCAGCAGAACGGATTGACACAATGGATGTAATAATGGGCTCAAGCATGGCAGAGGCTTGGCACAGGATAGAACAAGGAATCTATCATTCATAGATTGTCTATAAGTCATAGCTCAATTAACAACTAACAACAGTGATAACAACATACTTCAAATCAACAGAAAATTAAGCAGAATTAGGAACAAGGATTTGAAATGTCTAATGGCCTAAAGGGTAAGGAGCTGTGCTGCCAACCAGAAGGCACGCTGTTTTAATCCACCAGCCATTGTACAGGAGAAAGATGGACAATTTCCTCCCATGTGATTAAACTGTGTCTGAAAACCTGCTGGAGAGTCAGCTATGGGTCCATTCCCACACAAAAGTGCCCAACAGCGAAAGTACCAAAGAACATCAGTGCATGTTTAAGGGAGTTCTGGTGGTTTGCTATAAAGGAGTTGTGCTGCCAGTCCAAAGACAGACATTTTGAATCCACCCACTGCTCTACAGGAGAAAGATGGGCTATCTTCTGTGCAATATACAGTCTTCAAAAATTTACTGGAGGGTCAGCTATAAATTGATTCCAACTTAAGGTCACATAATAACAACGCGTATTTATGGGAGCCCTGATGGCTTACTCTGTGAGGGTGGCACTACTAACACAAAGGTGGTGTTTTCTGGCCATTCAAATCAACAAGCTCTCATGGAGAAAGATGTGTACTCACTTCTCAAGTGATTTAGGCCCTCTTTAAAACTCTAATTCTAACTCTACAGCAATGAGTTTAAGTTTTGAATGCATATATTTTAAAGTATGCTGCTTCCTGTGAAAAAAACAAAACACAAAACAAAAAATAAAAACCACACACCAGTTTGAAATACTGCAATATAACTTTTCTCCTATTGGATGTTTAGATTCTTAACCAACCCTTATTCTACTATGAGTCAAAACTGACTCAAGGGTACCTAATAGTAACAAAAAGCAAATTTGCAGTTCTTAAAGATGTGTGAGGACTAGGTACCCTTGTTCTTCTTTATCTAGTAGGTGGATATGATGCAATCTGCTAGGAACACCACAGACTGCTTTACCGTGTCTCATTATTATTGTTGTATTGTTCTTGTTGCCTGCAGAACTACTCTCTCTTCGATATGAAACCATCCCCATCTTCGATGATTACTTTGAACAATTCTCTGCACTGGCAGCAGGATTTTGAAGACACTTGTGTCTATGAGTGTCTAGATGGCAAAGACTGCCAGAGTTACTTCTGCTGCTATGAAGAATGCAAATCAGGATCCTGGAGAAAAGGACATATTCACATAGACATCTCAGAGCTGGACTCATATTCCCGGGTCTTTTTCCCTACATCATTTTTGCTCTTTAATCTGGTCTATTGGGTCGGATACCTGTATCTCTAAATACCTCTTATGGCAGTGAGTTCACTTTTTACTGTTCTCTACTTTCCCTCATCTCCAGAACATAATGGCCCTTCTGAAGTAAAATGAACAACACTGCTCAGTTACCATTGAACACCACAGGAAGTATCTAGTATATATTTTTAGTATGTATTACACACACCTACATTCGCACACTGAGCTTTGAAGTGGTACCTACTCTTGTTAATCTCTTACTGATTCTGCAGTTTTGTGTTATTTAGAAACAGATTTTGGTATTGAAAACAACTTAATTCTTGCAAAGAAATATGTATAAGTAGACAAACATCCAAAAACGTCTTTTAATTTCCTTTCTCCTGTATGCCTTTTCTCCTTTGTCCTTACCAGGTGCCCCCAGGTCGGTACCGCAGGTAGGTACCTGATCACTACTGGCCCTCTCAGGAGGTCTCAACAACATGCTTGCCAATATCTAGAGCTCAGTAGGGATTCAACAGTGGGTTTTGACCTTGGTTCCATCTCTCTATAACCTCTTTTGTTTGCATCACTACAGTTAGACTTAAGGTTTAAGAAGAGTTTCCATTCAAGACATTGAATCCAAAAGTTTCCATTTAAGGAAAAAAATATAATGTTCAAAATTCTCATTTTGCTTTGAACATTAGTAGGTTATTATTTTCTTTCTGAACAGGATTCAGGTCTTTTGTTCATAGGGTCGCTATGAGTCATGCTCGACTTGATGGCACTTAACAACAACATTTTCTTTCAAACTGCTAAGAGTCAACATTACTTGAATTTCATGTTGTTGGGTTAGTTCAACTTAAGTTCAACATTACACCTTAAAACGTGTACTCTTCTGGACCAAGTCTCAGCTCCAGAATATGTGCCTACCTAGTTAATGTTACACTATTGTAGGTTCTATAATTTTATTCGCATTGCAAAGAAATGTATTCCTTAATCAAAATACTCAGTCTTCAGAACACACCCCAGAATGTGTAAAAATAAGTTGGATTTTCTGAATTCTTGATGAATATTAATTACCAAGTAAAATTAACTTTAGATGCAAAAAATGGGTAATTACTATCATCAATTATATGTTTTGATGACAAAAATTATTTTATACTTTTAAATATTTACACAGTAATATCCCAAAAAAGAAAAATTACACACAATTAATACTTTGTATTTTCATAGCAGAAAAGCAACTTCTTTATATTACTTCTTCATTATAATTGAATGAAAATATACATACACTTCTTAAGAGACTTTTGAAGTTTCCCACTATTAATAGAAAAAAAATAGTAAATTAAACTAACTGGTTGATAGACACTTGGCCAGTAATAATTAAATCTATGCTTTCAATTTCTATTTTGGTACAAGAATGTCTATGTTTTCTTCTCTTTGTCACATAAAATTAAATTAATTTGATTGGAAATAATTTTTATTATAATTTTCAATTGTACATAGCATTATTAGTCAGTAAATAACAAGATGCTATGCAGAGAAATTATAGAAAAATGCTAATTCCAAAACACACCAGACCAGATAGGGCTGAGAGTGAAGAAGACCAGAAAAATTGAAAGTATACAGATTTGTTGTTCATTGTTGTGTTACTATATACCATTGAGTCAAAAGCAACTCGCAACTGACCCTTCACCAGATCAGTTATGACATAAGTTATATCATAAGTTATGACAAAACTGACCTTACAGCAAGTTAGAAGCTATAAATAACAAGGGAGGAAATTGCCCATATTTTGCTTTGGAACAGTTGGTGGGTTTTAGCTTATTAAAGTATTGAAAGCAAAAATATAGGCCCAGGATCAACCCATTTATTCAAGAACTAGGTCCATAGAATGTGAAACATTAAAACTCTTTGTTCTTCCTTCTGCCAACTCCTTTCCTGTTTATAGTCGTTCCATAGGCCACTTGTCAGTTGGATTCTATTTAACAATACCAATATAAAAATAATAACAATAAATATTTAATCAGTAGCAGTTTGAAAATCTTGCCTTCAGTGAAATTTCTGCTTTACTGGAGAATGCTATGTTCTGTATACCAGTTATGTCTTTTACTGTATGCATGACTCAGAGAAAGTGGTCTGTGGGGAAGAAGGCACAGACATTTCATTTGCAGAACATTTAAGGGGAATCTTCATAAAATATAACTTCCAACTACAAATATATAATTTATAATAATTTATAATTTATAACAAGGTGAAAAATTTCAATCTTTAATGTGACTTTAATGTAATTTTGGAAAATGTAAATTTTTCTGTGGAATTCTTCTTGGAAGGAAAATAGCCTAACAGCATTATTATAACACAGATTTAGCCCAGTTTTACCTTACAAGCAATTTTACTGATGCTTGTTGTTTCAAAGCCTCTCAATGTTAGACATTGTTATTGCTGATACATTTTATTAAATTGTATGTGTAGAATGTACATACCGGTACTCTGTTTCCAAAATCCAAAGTGCTCTTATCCAATAGTTATCAGTCATTTGTCTGATCAAACTGCAGTAGTTCATATTTCATCTTATATGAAGGGAATCTTCATCTCAAGAGAGGTTAATGGATATTATAGAGAAAATATAGATTAACTGTTGCATGTATAGTAATCTATCCTCTATCAAAAAGAACTAGAAGGTCACACAGAGATCCTTAACCATGTTATCATTTGAGCATATTTGAGTCAAACACCCCATGCATTGCCTGGGGAGGGCTTGTGCTGAGGAAAGATACACAGATAAGCTGCTCATTCACATATGTACTTCCTTTGGTTGAAAGAAGATGAAAATCCTGCAGCACGTTGAGGTAAACGTAGTACTCTACGCTTACTAAGAATATGTGTGGAAAACACAGGTGTAAGACTCATCTAGATAGACTCTATGTCCAGTCAGGTTTCTGCCTTCATTTTCTTTGTATACATAATTGGGGAATATTGTTAAAGATGGTTTTAAAGCTATAGGGACATTGTGTGAGTAATCTACATTTCAAAGGTGCTTGCTATGTTCATCACTTTAAGAAACATTTCAAATCAAGAAGATGATGACTTAGTATTTTAACAACTAAAAAAAATATCACATCTGTTGAGTGGAAACTGCATAATAGGTGACTCTCCAGCAGGTTTTCAGAGATTATAAACAGCATAGAAAGAAATTGCCCATCTTTCTCTCAAGAAGCTGTGGGTGGATTTAAAATACCAGAGAGGTGGCACCATTAGGCTAGATATCAGCAATCACATAGAACTCTCTATGGAATATACCACTTAACTTCTAGTTTTTAACAAGGATTCTAAATGTGTAACTACTATGGATCAATCATATTTAAACCCATGATTGCTACTCTCTTACAAAGCTGTGAGCAAAAAGAATTACAAGTATTTAATATTAATTAATTAAATTACAACAGAATGCCTCTCCAGAGTCTGAAAAGATTCCCTGGTCCCAGAAAGAGATGGATAATGACTATGGAATATACTAGTCCTCATCAATACTGATCCAACTTTATCCATCATCTATCTTTATAAATAGAAAATTAAAACCTCAAATAATACACATCTTGTAGGATTTCCCACTTCACTATAGCTTATAAGATATAAAAATCAGCTAAGGTTCACTCCAGGCTTTAGAAAAACTTTATAAATAGTTAGAAAAAGTAATCTGGATCTTAATACATTAAGATATCTCATCCTCCATTTTATATCCAAACTATATATATTCATCAGTTAAGAAAGACTTGGTTAGCATAGTAAAATATTTTCAGGCTTCATATCAACAATTAGGGACAAATTACAAGTCAGTAAGCTATAGCTAGCCTTCCATACAGATGGCATCTCAACATCAGGAAAACAAAAATTCTCACCATTTCATCAGCATGTTGACAGATGAAGAAATATTGAAGTTATCAATAATCTCATTAAATTGATCCACAATCAATACTCCACAGAAGTAGCAGTCAAGAAACTAAGAGATGTGTAGCATTGGATAAATATGTTGTCAATGACCTCTTTTAAAGTTCCAAAAAGCAACCATGCTATGTGAAACCTCAAAGAGAAGCTGCATAGAGGTACCTGGCCCCCTCCAGCCATGCTGCACACCAGAACCAAGAAGGACAATTACAAACCTTACAAGGGGTGAAGATTTCCACAAGGCTATTGAAGACCTGAAAAGGTGGCTGCATAAAGATAACTGCCCCTGCCTCCCACTAGCTTCAGATAAAAAGAGTGCAGCCATCAGGAGGAAACTGGTTTGGGGCCACACTGTGGACCATCAAGGACAATTACAAATAATAGAAGGAATAAACAACACTCAGGCAAGATTCTCAAAAGGTTACAGGTGACTACTAGACAGAATTTAAAGAACTTTAGGAAAGGCATCTTTCCCACTACACATGATGAGGAAAGTCTTCTGGTAAACAAGTTGCTTTCACCCATAAAGAGAAGACTTTAAGTTCGCAACTAATGCATAACATCACAAAGAATTATCAACAACCTACACAAGCATTGCTGTTAGGGACCTCTCTAAAGTACTCAAGAGCAACGGTGTCTCTTTGGAGATGAAGGTGCGCCTGATACAGGCCATGGTCTTTGCAATCACTTGTTATGCATCAGAGAGCTGGACAATGACTAGGGAGGACAGAAGGAGAATTGACGCCTTTGAGCTGTGGTGCTGGAGAAGAGTATTGAATGTACCATGGACTGCCAAGAAAACAAACAGATTCATCCTAGAGAGGGTTAAACCAGGCTACTCCTTGGAAGCAAAGATTCTGGGGCTTTGTCTGACATACTTTGGACATGTTACAAGGAGAGACAGGTCTTTAGAGAGGGACATCATGCTGGGTAGAGTAGAGGGACAGAGCAGGAGGGAGGGGAAGACCCTCTATGAAGTGGATTGATTCAGTGACTGGGGTAATCGGGATGCGTGTGTCAGAGGCAATGCGATTGGCACAGGTTAGAGCAGGGTTTAGGGCTGTTGTACATAGGGTCGCTATGAGTCACAAACGACTCAACGGCACATAACAAAAACAAAA